ATAAGACATAATATCGACAAGCATGAACACACAAGGGACGATAAGACTTTTCCTAAATCCTCTTCATTTGCAGTTTCGTATTCTGGTACAGGAGATGCAAAATAACTGTCTGCGCAAATCAGAACTGATAGATTATTGTCAGAGAAGATACATTCTTCTGGCTTAAAACATAATTTTGGAGTTTCAAGGCATGTCATATTCGTTTGACTTGTTACATTATAATCAATTAGAGATATGTTAACAAGCGGACATATAAAGGCTGGTACCAACCGCGCTACCCAAGGTTTAAAAACACACGTACCAGTTTCAGGATAAATTTCAACGTTCAATTTCTTTCCATTTGATGGATCTGTGTACCTTCTGGCAAGCGGAGTTCCGTATTCATATTCATTTTTACCAGATTCGAATTCATAAAATTTCCCACCCAGCACTTTAGGCTGCATCTCAATGCAAAGCATATCTCCTGAGGTCGAATCAAGTTGGAATGCAGAGGAATTTAAAAAATGCTCTGCCACTTCCATCGGATCGTGAAAATCTTGTATATCAAGCTCGACATGAATGATTAGATATCCTGTGTTTGTTGATGAAAGGGAACATCCATCATTAGTGTACAAGACACTTAACCCACAAACATACCTGTAATAACCCATCTTTGTCAAGCGTAGTCTCATGTATTTTTGGATCACACGAGGACTGAGTTGCAGACATATGTCACAATTGGTGTAGAAGGATGGTGCTTTATTGAACTTCAAGAACATTTCATATCTCTGGGAAGCTATACGACTGAAGACATTTTCACACGCGCCATTTCTGTATTTGAACGGAGGTAAACACTTGATCTCGCGGCAAATGTTCTGAAAACATAAATACAATTGCATGTACTGTACATTAGTTTACAAAATAGTTTAAGTTTAAACGTTGTGATAAAACTTTCATAAATGAACTGTATTGTCACAGGGCTGAAATTGAATATAACTGGGAGGGCTCAAATTTTTTAATATTTTTATTTTCGGTCTTATACTCAAGCATAAAATAATTTTACCTCAAAGGCACAGCTATATATATAATACATCTAACATTTGTTTTACCAAAACCATCGCAATGTGATCAAAATTCAAGTTAACGGAATTAATAGAAAGGCAGGTGTACAAATGTTTATTTATACAATCAAAGGGACACCAAGATTGTAATACGAACTCGAAACCGGTAGATTAATGTAAAACGACAGCCTCATTGTAAATCTAGGTCAAATCCGGGAAATCTCACGTCCTCAAAGCGAGAACCGGAACAGTAACAACGAAATAACAAGGTACACTAATGAGCATACTCCAAAATCTCTGTCTTCCTATCATACACGGCATACTTCACAAAAGTTCATGATGACGACTATTAAATTTCACCATAGTTTCTTATATCAACCGGTATCCATGAAAACCCGTAAGGTAAGTTTGCGCATTAGCAGTCGATATCTATCATGGAATTAATCATATTCAAAACAAGCTCTTGAAAACCAAAAATAGTCTCGTTTTTTAAAGATTGTGCATCGTCGATATACCTGAACATAAAATAAAAAGTTTACGAAGGCTTTTGGTTACAGCTCTGACAAATATATGCTCTTTAATAAACTAGACTCATACCAAAAACAAAGACAAGTCGGGCAGGAAAGTTGCACAATAAAATTCCTTCATATCATATTATAATTGCTTATAGGAAATATTTTTACTTACCTTGTATGTATCAAAACGAAAATCAGTCTGACATAGATGGGTTGATTCCTCTGGTTGTTCTATCGGGGTATCCTCAATGAAATTGAATAATGCTTCAAAGGATGTCATACCTGTGACACCACTTGGCATTACGTAATATTCGTCAAAGCATGGTGGTGGAAATGAAGCTTTAGAATTGCAAATATAACAGAATACGTTTTTATAATATTCATAAATAGCCAGGTAGTTATGTTCATAGTGTGTACACGCCCAATCAATGCTGCTGTCGTATTTCGTCCAAACACCAGTGACATTACACTCGGTAATCATATAAGTTTGAGCTCGACAGGGAAATGACATCGAATCAGGTGGAGGGTGGTAAAATAAATTACAGTCATGTTCCTCAATAATAAATTCAAGTAGCTCTGTTGCTTTTTGTGGGAACAGAGCCAGGCTTTCCTTACAGCTAAAGCTTGTTTCCCAATATTTTAAGTTACTTTCCTGCTCCAGATTACAATATGCACAGAACCTATTTTGATATGTCTCGTTGGTTAATACAGAAGAAACAGGAAGGTAATTCTTTACGTTGGTATCATTCGGTGAGCTTTGTCCGAATAGGCATTTTCTGATTATGCTACTATCCAAAAAATCGTTGTGACAAAGGCCTATCATGAGGAAACGATCATCTGTGTTAAGTCCAATATCCTCGAAAGGTTTAAGTTGTGATAAAACACAAGAGCTTCCCTTTCTAGACAAAATGTCTAAACTGTTTTCTTCTAGTGCCTTATCTATACAACAACTACCCGATACTGAGCAGTTGTCTTCACAGGAACATGGTGCACAACAATTGGGATTGTTTGCCTCTCCACTGACACTTCCTATACTACACAGACTCTGGGAGGTACAATGTATTAACTGTTCCATGATCAGCATCTGATGGGTTTTATTTTGTATATGTTCTGTCATATTGTTTGCCTTCATGATATTCAATACAACGGTGTTGTTTCCTGAATTATAAGCAGACCATTGTAACCAGGAGGGCTGAACCAAAGCGTCAACAATTATCAGCATCAATATCCTATTGACATTTATCGCCATTTTGATCTGAAAAATAAGCGGACTCTGTCAACACAACAAACTTCTCATAGTCAGCATGAACTTTTAAAATTTTTCTTATTGATAACAAAGTAAAAGATATGATGTGCAAATGAGAAAGCATTCAATATGAAGGAAGAAATTATGTTGCGTTATTTCAGTAAAAGCATGAAACATATAATTGAATGCTTCAAAACCTCGGAAAGTGAAAGCATGTAAAGTATACTTGTATATATTAACATTGAATATGAATATGAGTAGAGTTTGTTTGCATAAAATTCATCAAATAGTTACACATATTTCTTAAATGAAGTTATCTTAATCACAATCAATTTAGAGGTTTAAAACACTCAACATATTTATTTTAATATTGTTGAAATGTACAAATAAATGTACAAATAAATATGAATATATCTATTACATAATATCTATTTAAGGTTTAGTTCAATGTTAAAGGTATGGTATAGCGAGATAGTTTCATACAAACATCATACTTACGATTCTAGGATATTTCGCCACCTTACCCTGAAAACTGGACAACTGTATGGCTATATTTTAATTTAGCAGACAATATATAAGGGGCATACCATCCGATTAGCCGCTCGTTGACTCTGATCCTCATTATAATGACATTAGTATAAATAATTGATTTAGATTTAGAGTACATTTATGGAAGTAAAGGTCCCAGTATTTCCCTTAAGTAAGAGTTTAATGGAAAGGGCATTTCTGATGTTAATGCCTGATATTGCTACTCTCAATAAAATTGAAATACTAATAAGTTGTTTGGATATGGATCGAATGTTTCCTAGTCTCGATAGTACAACGATGGATGAGTTGACCAAAAGCGTAATATAAACATACAATTCTATAAATTATATAAACGCTCGCTTGTTTGTTGATTAATGGCTGTCAAACGTTATGTTATTATTAATCTCTTCATTTTATTGGAAATATTGTGACTCATTTTAAACGTACCTTATCTTTATTACTTTTTTTTGAATTAATGTTTTATATGTCTTATTTATTTCAAATATTGCGATTTTTGTTCATTATAACTTGCATCATGAATAATCTGACTTAAGTGTTTATACGTTGTTGCGTCATTTCCATTTCGGCTAAAAACTTGTTTAATCATAGCAGAAAACTATCAAACTTGTAGAAGTGGTACGGGTATTGTAAACATAAGCTTTATTTAAACTGTAGCGAAAATGAATAACAGCAGATACAAATTTTTGCAGAACCGAACCATCTTTAACGATATCTTTATCAAAGCGATAATGACAGATTCCCTATATTTTTGAAAATTACTGTTATACTAATAATATAAAAGCATTTCTATTTTACTATTCATTTAGGAACAATTATAGTATACAGTACAAATCACAAGACAATTTTGTGTGCTCAATCTTAGTGCTTTATTCAATAATGATGTTCAAATTACAAAACAGCATATCCGTGAAAATGATATTTTACTAAAGTAGATGTTATAAGAATATTAATTGGAAACTTTCCAAACTCTCTATCGATAGCAGGAATATCTTACTATGAAAAAACCTGTCTTATATTAGACATTGAAGGCAAATGGTATTGACCTATTATATACAACATTAAAGACAAATTTATCAAGTTGTATGGACAACAGTATAAGCTATAGTTATGCCATATGACATAGTTGTGTGGATCATCCTGTATCTATAGTGCAGACATATGTATCTAGTTGTATAGACAATTTTGTATTTCACAATAAAGACAAATGATTGTAGTTACAACACACGGGTATTGTCAAACATCTACACCATGAAATTTAACAACGGCTCAAGAAATTCAATATATATGTCTGGTTTTATTACTGAATTTTCACATTCGTTTGTTCTTAAAGTAAAATGCAACGGTCTAAATGGGTCTTCCTATAACCATCACAGTTCAATTGCACATCCAATGAGATGTGAAAAGTTCAATGAATTCGATATCACATACTTTTAATGGTATAATAAACTAGTTCAACGTTCAAAGAGTGAACGTTTACCGAGACAGTTATACGATATTAAAACAAACAACATTACTACGAGAGGTCTCAAAAGTCACTACAGAAAGTAAACATTAAACTTAAACACGTACAGATTTCAGGCATTTTTCATCCAGCACATGTACGATACTGGACAACGGTGAAGTTTTTCTAAAGGTTGTTACGAAAATATGTTAAGCCGACAGCTTAAACAAAACAATTGCAATATGTATTTCATATGTTATATGATAATTCATTTATCAATTCAGAGTTTCGTACTAAATTTGTTATTACTATTGTCCTGACTTGCAAAGTGAGGGTTGCGCTTATCTAGATTAAACTCAGTTGACGTCGTTGTTGCTTCAGCATGAGGCTTTTTAGAATGAAAATCAGAACTATTTGATAAAGTATTATCTAAGATTGTATGACAACTCGAAGTTGACTGACCAGATACTTGTTTCCTGTATGAGCTGTATAGTTTGTAAACCCTTTTATTACATACAAACGAGAGCATGATAAACACGCCTTGTCCGGCTATCAAAATAATATAAAGATATACGAAGATATCCGAGTGAGATATTTCAGCAATAAATCCAAAGAGCCAAGCCAATCCTGTCAGACTTGAAAGCTTTATGTAAATAACAAAACGTTTCTGATGATGTCGACAGGTTGAAGACCTAGACATATCCGGAAGCTGACTCACTTTTACTATTACAATGCAAAACATGACAATATTTGCAATAACAAGTAACATGACCGGTAACGTGAAAGTAAACAATAGAGCAATAGGGTTGTTAATAAAACAAACCCGGATTCCGTATCCGGACGTGCCCGTAGTAACCACGCTATATACAATTCGACCTATCACGAATATTGTACTGCTGCCATAACTGTAAACTAGAGATATAAGGAAATGTCGTCTTTTTTCTTCTTCCGTCAAAACGAATTGCCTGTCTAAATGATTAAATACCCGGAACATGTGTATTGAACATACGTTCATTAGAAATACACTTGCTAACATTGTCAAATGTATTATTATTCCCAGTACTTCACACACGAATCCGATCTGGACTGCACCTGCTCCAAAGGTAAACAGAGCATGCGCGACTATCAGTGTTACGCACAAAGCCATTGTGTAAAGTCCGGGAAGTGTTCTTAAAACCGGAAATAACATGTACGTAACCATAGTTATGATAAGACATAATATCGACAAGCATGAACACACGAGGGATAATAAGACTTTTACTAAATCGTCTTCATTTGCAGTCTCGTATTCTGGTACAGGAGATGCAAAATAACTGTCTGCACAAATCAGAACTGATAGATTATTGTCAGAGAAGATACATTCTTCTGGCTTAAAACATAATTTTGGAGTATCAAGGCATGACATATTCGTTTGACTTGTTACATTATAATCAATTAGAGATATGTTTACAAGCGGACATATAAAGGCTGGTACCAACCGCGCTACCCAAGGTTTAAAAACACACGTACCAGTTTCAGAATAAATTTCAACATTCAATTTCTTTCCATTTGATGGATCTGTGTACCTTCTGGCAAGCGTAGTTCCGTATTCATATTCGTTTTTACCAGATTCGCGTTCATAAAATTTACCACCCAGCACTTTAGGCTGAAGCTCAATACAAAGCATATCTCCCGAGGTCGGTTCAAGTTGGAATGCAGAGGAATTCAAAAAATGCTCTGCCACTTCCATCGGATCGTGAAAATATAGTATATCAAGCTCGACATGAATGATTAGATAGCCTGTGTTTGTTGGTGAAAGGGAACATCCATCGTTAGTGTACAAGACACTTAGTCCACAAACATACCTGTAATAACCCATCTTTGTCAAACGTATTCTCATGTATTCTTGGATCAAACGAGGACTGAGTTGCAGACATAGGTTACAATTGGTGTAGAAGGATGGTGCTTTATTGAACCTCAAGAACATTTCATATCTCTGGGAAGCTATACGACTGAAGGCATTTTCACACGCGCCGTTTCGATATTTGAACGGTGGTAAACACGTGATCTCACGGCAAATGTTCTGAAAACACAAATACAATTGCATGTACTGTACATCAGCTTTCAAAATAGTTTAAGTTTAAACGTTGAGATAATGAACTGTATTGTCACAGGGCTGAAATTGAATATTACTCGGAGGACTCAAATTTTTTAGTAGTTTTATTTTCGGTCTTATACTCAAGCATAGAATAATTTTACCTTAAAGGCACAGCTATATGTATAGTATATGTAACATTTTTGTTACGCGTAGATCACCAAAACCATCCCAAAGTAACAATTTGATCACAATTCAAGTTAACGGAATTAATAGAAAGGTAGGTGCATAAATATTTATTTATACAATCAAAGTGACAGCAAAATTGTAATACGTACTCGAAACCGGTAGACTAATGTAAAACGACAGCTTCATTGTAAATCTAGGTCAAATCCAAGAAATCTCACGTCCTCAAAGCGAGAACCGGAACAGTAATAACGAAATAACAAGGTACACTAATGAGCATACCCCAAAATCTCTGCCTTCCTATCATACACGGCATACTTTACAAACGTTTATGATGACGACTATAAAATTTCCCCATAGTTTCTTATATCAACCGGTATCCATGGAAACCCGTTAGGTAAGTTTGCGCATTAACAGTCGATAGCTATCATGGAATTAATCATATTCAAAACAAGCTCTTGAAAACCAAAAATAGTCTCGTTTTTTAAAGATTGTGCATCGTCGATATACCTGAACATAAAATAAAAAGCTTGCGAAGGGTTTGGTTGCAGTTCTGACAAATACATGCTCTTTTATATACTAGACTCATACGAAAAACAAAGACAAGTCGGGCAGGAAAGTTGCACAATAAAGTTCCTTCATATCATATTATGATTGCTTATAGGAAATATATTTACTTACCTTGTATGTATCAAAACGAAAATCAGTCTGACATAGATGGGTTGATTCCTCTGTTTGTTCTATCGGGGAATCCTCAATGAAATTGAATAATGCTTCAAAGGATGTCATACCTGTGATACCACCAGGTATTACGTTATATCCACCAAAGCATTGTGGTGGAAATAAAGCTTTAGAATTGCAAATATAACAGAATACGTTTTTATAATATTCATAAATAGCCACGTAATTATGTTCATAGTGTGTACACGCCCAATCAATGCTGCTGTCGTATTTCGTCCAAACACCAGTGACATTACACTCGGTAATCATATATGTTTGAGCTCGACAGGGAAATGACATCGAATCAGGTGGAGGGTGGTAAAATAAATTACAATCATGTTCCTCAATAATAAATTCAAGTAGCTCTGTTGCTTTTTGTGGGAATAGAGATAGGCTTTGCTTACAGCTAAAGCTTGTTTCCCAATATTTTAAGTTACTTTCCTGCTCCAGATTACAATATGCACAGAACCTATTTTGATATGTCTCGTTGGTTAAAACAGAAGAAACAGGAAGGTAATTCTTTACGTTGGTATCATTCGGTGAGCTTTGTCCGAATAGGCATTTTCTGATTATACTACTATCCAAAAAATCGTTGTGACAAAGGCCTATCATGAGGAAACGGTCATTTGTGTAAAGTCCATTTCCCTCGAAAGGTTTAAGTTGCGATAAGACACAAGAGCTTCCCTTTCTAGACAAAATGTCTAAACTGTTTTCTGCTAGTGCCTTATCTATACAACAACTACCCGAGATTGTGCAGTTGTCTTCACAGGAACATGGTGCACAACAATTGGAATTGTTTGCCTCTCCACTGACACTTCCTATACTACACAGACTCTGGGAGGTACAATGTATTAACTGTTCCATGATCAACATCTGATGTGTCTTATTTTGTATATGTTCTGTCATATTGTTTGCCTTCATGATATTCAATACAACGGTGTTGTTTCCTGAATTATAAGCAGACCATTGTAACCAGGAGGGCTGAACCAAAGCGTCAACAATTATCAGCATCAATATCCTATTGACAATTATCGCCATTTTGATCTGAAAAAAGCGGACTTTGTCAACAAAACAGACTTCTCATAGTCAGCATGAACTTTTAAGAATTTTCTTATTGATAACAAAGTAAAAGATATGATGTGCAAACGAGAAAACATGAAGGACGAAATTATGTTGCGTATTCAGTAGAAGCATGAAACGCAAAAACTCAATGTTTCAAATCCTCGAAAGTGAAAGCATGTGAAGTATATACATGTATATATTAACATTGAATATGAAGATGAGTAAAGTGTTTTTACAAACATTTTATAAAAAGAAGGGATAAAAACATATTTCTTTAAAAAAAAGAAGATTTTTGATATTGTTGAAATATACAAATAAATGTTGAAATCAGCATAAATGTAGTTCATACATAATAGCTATTTAAGGTTTAGTTCAATATTAAAGGTATGGTATAGCGAGATAGTTTCATACAAATATCATACTTACGATTCTGGAATATTCCGCCACCTTACCCTGAAAACTGTACTACTTTATGGCTATATTTTAATTTAGCAGACAGTATATAAGGGATATAACATCAGATAAGCCGCTTATTGACCCTTATCCTCAAGGGTATGACAATATCATTAATGAGTAATATTGATTTAAATCATATTTATGAAAGTATTTGTCCAAGGATTCCCTCAAGGAAGAGAATAACGGAAGGACATTTCTGATATTACTGCCTGATATTGCTACTCTCAATAAAATTGCAATATTGATCAGTTGTTTGGATATGGATCGAATATTTCTTAGCCTCGATGGTAAAATGAGTGAAAGCGAAGCTCTTTAATGGTAACACATGCGTGTGTAAACAAAGTTGCTTCCACTTGCTACACATCGCCCTTATTTTTTCCGTTTGAAAATGTAGCTGCCCAGTGGGAAAACCGGAAGTGTATTCTTGAAGCAAAAACAATTGTGTTTCAACTCATAGATAAACATCGATATATAGTCGAACAATCTTCATGTTTTTATTACTTTTTGAATTTGAAAAAAAAAAAATATACATTCTGAGTGAAAATGAGTCCATCATATAAAATGTGATGCTAACATGTGCTTCATGTCTTTTTTATTTCTGCTTTCGTCACAGACGCAAAAAAAGTAAAAATGTGATATCCTTTTTGTCATCAGGTTGTGTTAATATTTCTATCGGGAGATATCTTAAAAAAGGGCCGGCATTAAATCAAGAGGTCTACGTGTAGATATGTTTTCATCGTCTAAAATTTCATCAGCTTTTTATCTCCATTTGTTGAGAATATGAACGAAATAATTATAATTCTTGTTAAAGTGTTTCCATAATTTATTTACGCAACACCACTCTTAAAGGAAACAAATGATAATGCATTTATGCCAAATTTAACAATGATTTTCCAGGCCTCCAACCCGAGTTCAACGCCCTTTGTAAGCAACGCATTACTTTTTCACAACGCGTGCCGATTCATAACTGTTTAATTTCATTTGACATCATTACCTGTGAAACCTCAGTGACTGTAACAAAATTTGGAATTCAACCCCGGTGTTTTAGGAGGGAACAGGAATTGAGACTATAACGAAAATCTCAGTTACATCAAAGTATCACAATGTTCTAATGGATTGATACATTTATTTAAAGTTATCGTCAAATATGTAAAATTAACTTTTTTCTTTAGCAATTACCAAACAGTGTTTTCAAACTTATCTCAATCATTCTTTTCGTGCCCTGACAGAAGCACGCAGAGGATTTAATTCTTTATGTGGGAGAAAACCGGCCCACGTGGTCGGACAGGTGACCGGGATCGACTACGGCCATCTTGGTGAAGACGAGCGCACTGTCCACTGCGCCACCAGACCCACCTTATAAGTTACGCTCAAGAACAATGGTTTACTTTAGCTTTTACTGAAAGAAAATAGCGTCGATGAGGCAAAAGTTATATTTTGAATTCATTTTCACCAATTATCTATGATACAAAAAAGTCTATAAACGGGAGACCGTTAAGTTCAGCCACCCATGATATTTTTTGAGCTTATATTTACCACTTTTAGGATTTAAGTAGTTTAGTTGACGGCATTCACACGAAAAATGGCGAAGAAGAATCTCATGATAATTACGAAAGTGCCTTTTGGAAGGGAAGAAAGAAAATCATAATCTCGCTTCTTTCTAGGAATGCACACTTTCTGTAAACGGAATTGCTACCCTTTTTACGGTCAAACGTGTAACACACTGACCGCTTCAAATGTCATACATCGTACATAAAAGCCAAGCCAAACACTTAATATCGTATTACTGTTTTATAAGAATTTATCAAAATATCAAGTTGGGCCCGGACAGGTTCGGCCCATGGTTATACAGGGGTTAGTTCGGCCCATGGTTATACAGGGGTTAGTTCGGCCCATGGTTATACAGGGGTTAGTTCGGCCCATGAAACATATACAAAGTCGTAAAATTGGCGGGGGAAAACTGACGTTGCATGCTTTATGCAGTCATAATTAAGCTGATTCCAACAGAAGCCGAGCTGACCAGATAACCTGTCCGAACTAACCCCATGACAGGGCTCGTTCGGCAATACGATCAACCGACAGGAAAAGTTAAATAATTCAGCAAAAACGGACGTGCTGCCATTCTTCCCAGAACGGACTTGGCCCCGGTCTCCCCTAATTGTTTTGTCGGTCCTAAATTCTCATAAGAGCTTGTGTTTTGTTGTTATTTCTCGACTTGGTAACTATCAATAAAGTTTATTATTTTTCATCCTGAAAGCAGTATTATCTCATTCTAATAATATCATATTACCACTTGTTAGTTTGTTGATTTAGGGCTGTCAAACGTTACATTCTTTCAACAGACTGTTATTAATTTCTTGATTTTATTCGAAATCTTGTGATTCATAATAAACGTATCTTATGTTTATGACCTTTTAAGAATTTCATGGTTAATATTGCCTTGTATATTTCAAATATTGTGATTCTTGTTCATTAAGAGTTGGATGATCTGATGTAATCGTTTCTACTTTGTTAAGACGTTTATTCTTTGGCTAAACACTTGTTTCATCATAACCAAAAACATCATCTTTTAAAATATGATACGGATATGGTAAACACAAACTTTATTAAAACTGTAACCAATGAACAAGAACAGATGCAGTCATTGCAAAACCGAACCTTCTTTAACAATTTCTTCAACAAGTAGAAATTCCTCAGCGATTACGTCAGATTCCCGTGATGTAAATCACACGAATATTCAAAATCTTGTGATTCATCTTGAAAGTGTTGTACCTAACAAAGTTGAAAATTTATTAAAAAAAAATTCAAATATTAACTAGAATACATTTTGAATATAGATAAGAATTTAGCATATAGAGCAGAAGATTTTGATTACGTATAATATCATATAGATTTTTTTTTATTGAGTTTTAATATAAAAGTTATACATTTAAAACATAAATAACAAATTATAGAAAAACGCGTGTTTACAAAATGTATCACAAATTTAGAGCAGAAACCGAAATGCCAAAAGTATCAATTGATAGTTGACTTTTCATAGAGTTTTATTAGTTTTCTACACATTACAGGATTGCTATCCATGATTTTTCTCTCTATATATGTAAAGATAACATCACATAGCTCCCTTTTCCTACGGGCTATTTCCCTGTCATAAGCCGTAAATGTGTAATATTAGTCATATATAAGGTCGAGAGAGGTGGAGGGCATTATTTTCTTCTGGTGGGTTTTCTTTATGGTTTGCCGTCACACAAATATGGTCAGTCTGGAACATTATAGTGTGTAAATACATTTTAAAATCACAGCGAGCATGATTAACAACCATGATGTTCGATTGTATATTATGACTACAGACGTGTTCGCTGTGTCGTAAATGCTATGTGACCTTTACCTCTTGGATATGTCCGGAAACATAATGAAGGTACCACATGTGGTGACAGGAAACATGATTAAGTTCTCTACATGTTGTGACAGGAAACATGATAAAGTGCTCCACATGTGGTGACAGGAAACATGATAAAGTGCTCTACATGTGGTGACAGGAAACATGATAAAGTGTTCCACATGTGGTGACAGGAAGCATGATAAAGTGTTCCACATGTGATGGCAGGAAACACGATAAAGTGTTCCACATGTGGTGACAGGAAACATGATAAAGTGCTCCACATGTGGTGACAGGAAACATGATAAAGTGCTCCACATGTTGTGACAGGAAACATGATAAAGTGCTCCACATGTGGTGACAGGAAACATGATAATGTGTTCTACATGTTGTGACAGGAGACATGATAAAGTGCTCCACATGTTGTGAACAGAAACATGATAAAATGTTCCACATGTGGTGACAGGAAACACGATGCGATGTACCACGTGAGATGATAAGATACTTAATGAAGGTATCACATGTGTTTAGAGGAGTCACACATGTAATGTCAAGGAGCATGATGGAGGTACCACATATGTGACTTGAGGAATAATGAAGGTACCATATATGGTTACAGGAGACATGATGAAGGTACCACATGTGGTGACTTGAGTGATGTTACAGGTACCACATGTGGTGACAGGAGACATGAAAACTTTACCACATGTGTTGT